GGCCAGGCTGCGCCGGGCAGCGCCTTCCACTTCTCTCTGCGCCTTCTCCCCCCCTTCCCGCCTTACCGCTCTGCTGCGCCACGCTAAGCTGGGGGGCGGGGGGGACAGGGGACACAAAGGCGAGCCCCCGCGGGCTGAGGGGCTTGCCGGGTGCCCTCTGGCAGCGTTACCGTCCCCCCATGCGTTCCCGGAAAGCCCATGTGCACGCTCAGCGTTAAATGTGAGAAGGGGCCTGTTTTAACCCAAACCGTCGGCCTTTTCCTGACGTCCGGCTGCAGTCGGCCCCTCTCAGACCTCTGGGACCGGCCCCACGGCGCTGGGCCCAGGGGAACCTGCCCGCGGGCCTTCCTGGGGTGCCCACAGCCCCATCGCTCCTGCCCCTCTCTTACCATCCCATCCGAGCAGCTGGAAGTGGGGCTGGTCGGTTCGGAGCAGCTCTGTCCCGGCAGGTGATAGTAGTTTTCTACCTGTTCCCTCAAGAGCTCCTGGAGGCTCTCGATGTACCTGATGGCGTTTCTCAGGATCTCTACTTTGGGGAGTCTTTGGTTGGGGTTGGCAGTGGTGCATCTCTTCAGGGTCTCAAAAGCCTGGTTCACTTTCTTCAGCCTCCTCCTCTCCCTCATGGTGGCCGCCTTCCGCCGATCCATCGTGGTGGATTTTCTCTTGCAAGCTTTGCAAGCCCACATGAGGCAGTGGCCGGCCTGGTGGTGGCCGGTGGGAGCTCGGACATGCTCCTCTTCCTCGGAGCAGGCGGGCTCGGGGGGATCGTGGGTGCCGAAGGCGGCAGGCAGGTCCCTGGGCTCGAAATCCTCGGGGAACTCGCCCTCCGGCGAGGAGAGGCAGGAGCTGTCATAGAAGAACTCGGAGGGGGAGAACTGGCAGCTGTCCATCACCTCCATCCCTGCAGCGGAGGCGCGTCAGTGCGGGGCGGCAGCCACCGGCTCTCGGCGAGGCGCTCCGCAGCGCGCTGGGGCAATTTCCTCACTAATTAGCGACCTGAGACGAAGTGTCCTTTGGCTGTTGCGGGGGGCCCTTATATATACACATGTAAAGGGAGGCTGGTCCGCGGCGGCCAGTCCGTATTAGCATATCCCACCACATCCCCTGCCGGGGGCTGTCTGGGCAAGCCCCCTCCAGCCCCCAGGAGACAATTTGCTCCGCACCGCTCCGTTGGCGAGCCGTGAGCTGGGCACTACTCTAATGAACGACCTCCTCAGAACCGGTTGCGACATCTCCGAAGTTTAAACCCAGTCTGGGAAATCGCGGTTTTGGTATGGAAAGAGATAGAGGGGCAGTGGACGCGCACGAACCGCTGACATTTCCTACAGAGCCGTTCCTCGTCCGTATGTTCCCGTCTCCCATCACACGCTGCAGCGGGAGGGACACACAGGCTCTCCCCACGGGGGAATTAACGCAGAGCCCCCCCCTAGCACCTACAGTGTCTACTCGCGTGTCTTTATTCCCCACAGCCCGTGGTCCAGGTCTAACCTGAAACAATTTACTCCTCTTTTCAGACCTAAGATTTGTTCCTTTATTTTGGGGAGCGCTTTGTCCTGTTGTTAAAGCCGTGTCACCAACAGTTTAAACTTACAAACCGGTGGCCAAAAATGCACAGCTACGTGTGGCCGGGAGAGACGGAGCGGGGGGAAACCCCGATTTTGGTGCTGTCGGATCGGGTCACAGGGAAAGGTACTCACAAAAGAAAAGTGTACGTGTTTGCTCCGAGACAAATCCCCTTCCCATTCTTTCTCCTACTCGTGTGACCTGGTGCTGCCAGAGACACAACAGCCGAGCAGCGCCTTGGGCTTGCTAATTTTCTGCTTTCAGGCAAAGTTGTACCGTTACAGATGCGTCCCAGCTGCCAGTGCAACAAACCCCTCCTGGAAGTGTAAAATTTCTAACCCCGCAATCCCTAAGTAACTTTACACAAGTCGGGGGGACAAAAGCTTTGCAGAGCTCCAGCCGCAGCAGTAGCTGAGCGGAGCGGTGCAAGGGTCATTAGAGTGGTAATGAAGCCATTTAACAGGCATTTGCTAACGCGCAGGAATCCTTTGGTTTCGTCCAGGTGGCTTTTGTAGTTGAGAAAAAAAATATTATGAGAAGGCAAAGGAAAAACCTTCCCTACCTGGGAATAAAATTATGTGACCCAGGGCTAATTCAAACGGAGAGCGAAGTGACCCAGCAGCGGTTCAAACGCTACGGAGCCGGTCTGTGTGCCCAGGGAAAAGGACTCTTCGGTTTGCCTCTCTTCAGGAGGAGGTAATGCAGAGGGCATGGCGATCCGGTTGTCTTAAGGAGCATCTCTTCAAGTGAGCAAAGGCGGGTAGGGAATACCTCCTTTCGAGGAGCGCACACCGCTGGGAACCTTCCCGGTCCGCCCGGAGAGCGGCCGGGAGCTGCGGCTGGGGCAAGGGCTGGAGACACCCCGGCTGCAAGAACCCCCCCCCCAAAAAAAAAAAAAAAAAAAAAACCCACAAAAAACAACCGTGCACACACCCTTCGTCCTAAGAGTGGATGCACAATTATCTAAAGGCTGGGGAAGGCTACATCTGCACTGCCTGAGTTTATTTGGGGCCATAAAGCGGGGGGGTGGGGGGAAGCCCCCTTTGAAATGAATACTGTAGGAAAAGCAGGGAGTTGATAAAGGAGTAAAGTTACGGAAAGGGGGAAGCTCAAAGTTGCAGGCTTCTGCCTCTCCGAGGTGCAGGTTGCTGGTTAGCTGGGCCACATCTGAAACACGGCAGTTCCCTATTGTTTTCCTAAGAACCCTCCGTCAGGAGGTCTTCTGCTCGCCAATAACTTGAACTCTTCACTGGGCTGTGGTGTGCACACACACACACACACACACGCAATTTGCCTTACCACGTTTGCGCCGGCATAAATAGACCTGTTTACAGATTTGTGCTTTGTGCACAAATAAACTTGATCTTTAAAGCGCCGGTGGCAGAGTTCTGCTCACCTTTCACGGGTTTCTCTCCAAGCATGCACCGTGGATGTCCCGGTGCACGATGCCAACCCCGCTCTCAGGGCGAGCAGGGCTTTAACTCCTGATCTAGCGGGCCTGGGGTTGGTAAGAAACGTGCCTTTTCCCAAAAGCCTTTGAGGACCCAGGAAAATTTGTTTCCCTTTTCCTTGAATATTTTGGGGGAAGAGGAAGAAAGGATGGAAAAACCTGTCACTCAGGAAGAAAAAAAAAATAAATCTGTAATTAGTATCCCTTAAGAGCCGCCGGCTCCTCTGGTAAAGTGATCTCAAAACAAATTCGCAGAAGTGCAGCAGGAGAGTGGAACTGAAGAAAGGGGAGAGAAAACACAAACTACAAAGCTGGCTAATGAGGCTGCTGGGGGGGGGGGTGGTGTGGTGTGGGGGGGGTAGACTCCTTTGGGTGTGGAGGTATGTCAGGGATGAGGGGTTCCTTTGGATCTGGGGGCTCCTTTGGCTACAGAGGCTCCCCCGGGGTGGGGGGGGCGTACAAGACGGG